GTGTTTTTGTTTTTGTCTTTTTGTTCTCATTTATTCATGCACACCAGGTTCAGAGATGAGTTCAGCTCTCTCTTCATTCTGTAATCCTCTGCCTTTATGTAAAAATCCTGTCCCATGAAGGATTTTGAGACATTTGTATATACAATTCTCTACCTTGCCTCATTCCCGGGTTATGAGCTTACATCCCTATCTTCCTAGCTCACAATCTTATCCATGCCCAAAGACACCTGGTGGCTCAGTCGGTTGGGCATCTGCTTTTGGCTCAGGTCATGATCCCAGGGTCTTGGGATCAGGTCCTGCATTGGGCTCCTTGCTCAGTGGGGAGCCTGCTTATCCCTCTGCCTGTCGCTCACCCTCTCTCTCTTTCTCTCTGACAAATAAATAAATAAATTCTTCAAACAAAAAAATCTTATCCATGCCCATTTTTTCAACCATCATCTAAAGTTGATAACTCCCAAAGGTATACATTGAGCTCAAATCTTTCTCTTAAGCTTCATATCTAACTGCCTCCTGGATACAGCCATCTGGCAATTCTTTAAGCATTGCTTTTTTTTTTTTAGATTAAAAAAGAAAAAATTTTATTTTCAAGTAATTTCTGCACCCAGTTTGGGGCTCAGACTCACAACTCTGAGATCAAGGGCCGCAAGTTCTTCTGAGTGAGCCAGCCAGGTGCCCCAACCATTCCTAACTCAACATATGGAAGTTGGAAAAGCAGAAACCTGGGGGTCCTTCTTGATTCCTTCTCCCCCTCATACCTCCTCTTGATTCTATTATCTTAATAACTCTGACCAATTCTTTTGTTTTTTTTAAATCACTATTTACTTCAGATTTCCCATTTTTTAATATGAATTTTGAAAACAATTATCTTAACTGTTCTTTTCAGCCCAAGACAGTCTCCATAACACTGCAGCCTAAAATGCAATCTAATTATGTCATTCCCTAAATGGTTCCCTATATAACCCGGTTAAAGTCCAAGATTCTTTTTTTTCTAAAGATTTTATTTATTTATTTTAGAGAGAGAATGAGATAGAGAGAGAGAGCATGAGAGGGGGGAGGGTCAGAGGGAGAAGCAGACTCCCTGCCGAGCAGGGAGCCCGATGCGGGACTCGATCCCGGGACTCCAGGATCATGACCTGAGCCGAAGGCAGTCGCTTAACCAACTGAGCCACCCAGGTGCCCAAAGTCTAAGATTCTTAACATAGTACACAAGACCCCTGTAGAAAATAGCCCCAGTCTATCTTTCCAGCTTTGTATCCTACCACTCCCTCACTCTCATGTTCCAGCTGTAATGAATTTATGAGTTATTCTACATTGGTTGAGCCTCCCTCTTCTGCAGCTGGTGAATTATTTTTGTCATTTAAGTTATCTCAGGACTTTCTCCTCTAAGGTCCCTCAATTTGAGAGTAAATGACACTCCTTGTTCTCTTAATACCTTGTCCATACCTCTATTATAATGTTTATCACACTGTATTGTGGGACCATAATTTTCCTATCTGAATTCTCTTCATATTTCCAGGATTTAGCACAGTGCTGGGTATTTGGTAGATATAAGCTGTGGCCAGATTGTGCGCGGCATTTCAAGACTAAGGTTTACTTTGCAGCACTTGCTGAATGTGGCTATGTAATGAAAAGGAGGATGGAGTAATATTGCATTTAGGAGGGAAGCTGAATCCACTGAACTCACTTTCAAAATTATGGGATTCTGTAGCTAGGTTGAGGTACAGAGGGCAGTGGAGAAATAAAAAGAGATTGAAGATGTAGGAGAGGTGATGGAAATAAGGTCACTTGGAAAGGAGGAAAGGTTTTAAGTTTTACTCAAAATATATTTTTTTTAGCTTTTGAAGGCCTATAAGTTATTGTTCTCATCAAGGGCTGAGCTCTATTTATCTCAAGATAATATTCTTGATCAGGGATTCATGTTACACATTTACTTGTTAAAAAGACCTTTCATCTCTCCTTGGGTTTGGAAGAGAAATGGATAAAGTACACTTGGTAGAAGTTAAGGATTAAAAGTTTACTAAAAAAATCTTGAGTTGTATCACAATCAATGTTACTAGGATGGCTGATATGGTTTCAAAGTATATGCCTGGGATATGATGACATTTTATTTTTTATTTTTTAAAAGATTTTATTTATTTTTTTGACACAGAGAGAGAGACAGCGAGAGAGGAAACACAAGTAGGGGGAGTGGGAGAGGGAGAAGCAGGCTTCCCGCTGAGCAGGGAGCCCTATGTGGGGCTCGATCCCAGGACCCTGGGATCATGATCTGAGCTGAAGGCAGACGCTTAACGACTGAGCCACCCAGGCGCCCCTATGATGACATTTTAGAAAGGTCTTGACACTTAAAATAAATGTTGTGTTACACACACACACACACACACACACACAGAGCAATAAATGTTCTTTCATGTTTTTGAGTGCATTCTGATTAATGAAATATTCTGGTTTTAATACCTGTTTTATTATATAATCTGAATTACTAATTAAGAAAATGAAGCTTGGATGTTAAAAATAGCTTATATTAAAACTACATAGTATGGTGGCACCTGGGTGGCTCAGTCGTTAAGCATCTGCCTTCGGCTCAGGTCATGATCCCAGGGTCCTGGGATAGAGCCCCGCATCGGGCCCCCTGCTCTGCGGGAAGCCTGCTTCTCCCTCTGCCACTCCCCCTGCTTGTGTTCCCTCTCTCTGTCAAATAAATAAATTAACTAAATATTAAAAAAAAAAACTACATAGTGTGAATAAGAAGGGAGTGTCAGGGCTTCAGACATCACTCTGAACTCCCACAAACACTTATGGAGAGCAAGCTACTCTGAACTAAGTACTGTGTTAGAGCTGAGAGGGACACAAATATTTAAGATGTGGCTCCTGCCTCTTAGAAGGTATATTAGCTAGTATAGAGTTCCAATTAATCAAATGCATAAGTGATTATTAGTAGATTATGTTACATATATTTTACTTTCCGTTTTCTATTCTGATAAGGCTCTCTGATCAATTCCCTTTTAAATCTTTCCCAACTATCAAAACTCTCTGTGCTTCAGAAATAGACTGTAGTGGTTAAACAAAGTGCTTTGTCCTTAGCAGCACTAACTGTGTATTTGTTGAACTGAAATGAATATCTTGTCCAGTTTTAACTCTCCTGTGCTTGGCAATTGGCTGAATTGGAAAGTCAAAGACATTTAAAAATGAGGAGAGAATATTGCTGAGTATTGCAGCTGCCAAGAATCTCCTTTTAAAACCTAAAGTCTGTTACATAAATTATGTACTCTTTAAACCCTCTTCCATGTTCATTTACACAATTGATCATTGAAATTACTTTAGAATATGCATATCAATTATTTAGCATATTTTAAAAGCTTCCTTAATAACATCTTTAATAAGTGGATGCAATTATGTATTTATTTACTGCAAACAGTTATGAATAACAGATAACCTAATTATAGTTTATCATTACCTCTAATCATTCCAATGGAAAGGTTTCTCTTACTGCATTCATATTGTTGCTGCATGAGTATGGAAAGCAGCAGATTGTTTTCTGTGATCATAGATTTTAAATATTTACTCGCTAGTGCTGCATAATTTAGCACACTGTAGTTGGAAAGCAGTTTGTACAGCAGTGGATGCCTTGTCGATGTTATAGAATACAGTTTCCCTCTGTGACTTCTGCTCAGGTCATGATCCCAGGGTCCTAGGATCAAGCCCCACATCAGGCTCCCTGTTCCACGGGAAGCCTGCTTCTCCCTCTCCCACTCCCTCTGCTTGTGTTCCCTCTCTCGCTGTGTCTCTCTCTGTCAAATAAATAAATAAGATTAAAAAATATATATTCATTCTTGGTAATCTAAATCTTTATGAAAGTAACACAAAGGCATCTAGACAGCTTGTTTGATACATGCTATCTGTCCTAAGAAATCAAAACAAAGTTCTGTATTTTAAAATATGGAATCACAGGCTATTTAATGAGGCAAGAAAACAGTTATTTTGTTTTGTTCACTCTAATAAATGTTACATTTATGATCTTGCTATATCCTTTGTGTGATTGGTTACTTGGTTGCCTTACCACATAATAGAAAATAAATAGTCCCAGTTATAAAGAAAATAATCCAAACCATTAACACGTTAAAAGAGTGAAAAACATTTTAAAATTTAATTTTGAACTTTCAACTCGGCATTCTGAAAGATTTCCTTTGCCATGTGCGCGCACAGTCCGGCAGTACAGACTTATTTTTTCACTCCCTGCTCTTACTATGATTTCTTATGCAATTCAGGAGCATGTGTGGCAGTCCTTGTTCCAACACAATCTTTCAGTACTGCAAAACGACCTAGGATTACACTTTGCAATAATTTAGTATCATACTCCTTTTATGAGTGTGGATAAAAATTTCCATTTCATAAAAAGCGTTTATACTGTCCTGAGTTTCAATCCTTGAAAAAAATCGGAATGTGGAAAACGCACACATTCCTTAAAATTTTATAAGTATTTACCTACAGTCTCAACTATAGCTTGGCTTAGAGAACCTTCACAACAGGAAAGCACAGAATAGCGGCATTTTTATCAATGTGGGTCTACATTTTCTAAGGAATTTAGTGACTCCTCCGAAATCACACCTCGGGTCTGCGGCTGTCAGGAGGAGAGCAAAGAACGAGGGGGCGCAGTGCCTACCGGGTCTTGTAGTTCTGGTGCCAAAGGAGAGGGCGTGGCGTGGCGTGGCACGCTGGGAGTTGAAGTCCAATTGTCCCGCGGGAACTCAAAGCACGCGTAACGTGGACTGTCTATCAGAGACACCAATTACAGATAGATACTTTTCCTTGGCTCTGCGCTTTGCCGTATTGGTGACCTAGGGGCTGGGGTGGCGAACAGTGGGGAAAAAGGATGAAGTGGAGCATGGCTCTGCGGGCTGTTCGTGTTGCTACGACTAATCAAAAGGATTTAGTGCCCCGGAAGTGGCTGACCTACTGGGTTCGAAGGGGGAGGCCTTTCCTCTTACTACGGTGGCCGGGGAGCTCGAGTGTCTGTGGCTGCGGCGCTGAGGTCGGAGCGTCTGCGTGTGTACTGGCTGCTTTTGGGGCGGCTGCTGCTAGAGCTGGAACATTTCCCGGGTTGGTGGCTCCTGCACATTTTTTACACTTCTCCAGTTCTATTTCGGTGAGGGGCGATTTGAGCCTAGCGGAGTCAGGAGAAGGTTGGGACTTAGTGTTTCTGGTCCCCAAATGACCGGGTTTTTGGGGGACACTGCCCTCTGTGGAGATCCTGTGGCCAACTGTTTAGGCTCTCTTTGAGGATTTTGGCGCCTCCCTCATCTACTTTCTAGTGTGATTTGTCTTCTGACCCCTGGCCCTTCTGGGCTCCAAACCTAACAAACCGTAAGCCTTCCTGTAGGCAGCTGTTCCCCTCTCCTTGTAGCTTTTCTTGGTATTCCAGATACGACCTCTTGTCCCCTAAGCTATCGCATCCGTTTAACTTTTTCCCATTAAAAAAAAAGAGAGAGAGAAATGAAAATCAAAACCAAAAATTAGATTCTGAAGGTCTCAGTCTTCTCATTCCTAATACCTTTCCTCCTTTTTGGCCTTTGTTACTTATGCAGACCTTAACACACTCGCCTGAATATCTTAATGCCTTTCCATCCAGACATTAACGTCCACTCCCTTTATCTGGTTCTCACTCATCCTCAACGCTTCCACCTCCGTCCCATCTAAGGGCTTTAGAGGTTGGAAGTTCGAATACGTTCTTAGGATGACTGGTGAATCTGAGATTCGTCAGTGGTCAACTCGGCATACCTCTGCTTATAGGGTTTCTATTTCTTTAAGATTTCTTTGGCTTCCGTTTTCGTTTTGTGTTGATTATTTTCCCACAAGGGATTTGCTGCTACTCTATAGTTAGAGGAGAATACCTTGTCCTACAGCTCTTTGTATCTGAATTACTTAGGTAGGATATTTCCCCCCTCTGTTCTTAGTAGGGACATATGCCCCCTGTGGAATTTGCAATGATTTTGTGTCAGTTAATAGCAGATAGACACAAGGGAATGCCCTTTCCTTCTTGCTTGCTTATGATCTGTAATTAGATTAGGAGTCATTGAAAGTACCCAGAGGGATTGGAAAAGCTTTGAAAGGTAAAATCTATGTATGTTCCAGTTTACAAATTAATAAAGCTTCTTTACTGAACAAGGAAGAGTTTCTAATTGGTACAATAATCTGATGCTATATTGAATTATCAGTTCATTATCTGTAAAATTTTGGGAACGGTTTAAAGTTAAAAATTAGCCAATATAAGGAATTGTATAACGGAGTAAAAAAAGTTTAAAAACCATTTAACTAATGCTCTTTTTCTGTAAAATGGAATGCAAATATGTTGAAAAATTTATTTGTTGTAATTATTTGTGGTATATATATTTTAAAGATTTTATTTATTTAGGGACGCCTGGGTGGCTCAGTCGTTAAGCGTCTGCCATCCGCTCGGGTCATGATCCCAGGGTCCTGGGATTGAGCCCTGCACCAGGCTCCCTGCTCGGCGGGAAGCTTGCTTCTCCCTCTCCCACTCCCCCTGCTTGTGTTCCCTCTCTCGCTGTGCCTATCTCTATCAAATAAATAAATAAAATATTTAAAAAAATTTATTTGAGAGGGAGAGAGAGAGATGATAGTGAGAGAGAGCACAAGCATGGGGGAGAGGGGAAAAGCAGGCTCCCCGCCCAGCAGGAAGCATAATGTGGGGCTTGATCCCAGGATCCTGGGATCATGACCTGAGCTGAAAGCGACACTTAACTGACTGAGCCACCCAGGCGCCCCATAGTGTATTTTTCTATATTTTGATACAGGTGGTAAAACAGCTTTGTATACTATTCACTGGTATTTTGTAGACAGAAATTTTTTTTTTTTAAGATTTTATTTATTTGAGAGAGAGAGAATGAGAGATAGAGAGCACGAGAGGGAAGAGGGTCAGAGGGAGAAGCCGACTCGCCGCTGAGCAGGGAGTCCGATGTGGGACTCGATCCCGGGACTCCAGGATCATGACCTGAGCGGAAGGCAGTCGCTCAACCAACTGAGCCACCCAGGCGCCCCAAGACAGAAATTTTTGTACTTCCTGGCTTTATGGGGACTGTGTAACTCAAATAAGTTTGCAGTTTTTCTTTTATTCTGATTATTGCACTATGGAAATCCTAATAGTAAAACTTTCGTTCTTCTTTAAGCAATGAAATATAATCTATACATGTCAGTAAAATATAAATACCTGTACCCTGTCAAATTGGAATTATTCTTAATTAGTCAGAAATGTTTTCAGCCATGCTTATGATTTGGAGCTGAATATGTATTTCAGATTTATTTATTTATTTATTTATTTTTAAAAGATTTCATTTATTTATTTGACAGAGAGAGAGAGAGAGAGAGAGAGTGAGAGAGGGAACACAAGCAGGGGGAGTGGGAGAGGGAGAAGCAGGCCTCCCGCGGAGCAGGGAGCCCGATGTGGGGTTCCATCCCAGGACCCCAGGATCATGACCTGAGCCGAAGGCAGACGCCCAATGACTGAGCCACCCAGACGCCCCTATATTTCAGATTTAATTCACTCATAGAATTCTTGATTGGATAAACGATAAGAGGCTAGGTATTATGCAAACTTTTGAAATTTTTCCTGAGATTTTATTCATTTTGTAAGCATTTATTGAATATGTCTTGCTATTTAACTATTGTCAGAAAAATCATCAAGGGCACCTGGGTGGCTCAGTCGTTAAGCATCTGCCTTTGGCTCAGGTCATGATCCTGGGGTCCTGCGATCGAGCCCCGCATCGGGCTCCCTGTTCGGCGGGGAGTCTGCTTATCCCTCTCCCTCTACTGCTCCCCCTGCTTGTGCTCTCTCTCAAATAAATAAAATCTTAAAAAAAAAAAAGAAAAGAAAAGACAAATCATCAAAACATTTCTTGAGAGCATCCTCTTGTCCTCAGCTCTGTACTGGATGCTGTTAAAGCATTATTGCATTGAATCAATGTAACAGCTCAGTGAGCTGGTGAACATTGTTTACGTTTAGCAGATGAAGAAACTGAAGCTCAAACAGTTCAAGTCCTTTAGTTAGTCCAGTTCATTTTGACTCTTCCCACTATACCACAGCTGCAAAGATGTGTTCTCTATCCTGGAATATATAAGGGACATTAATTCAATAAGTACCTTTTGAAGCAGCTGTTATTTGGTACATGATATATGTTATCTGTTGCTGGAGATATAACAGTGAACAAAAGAGACAAAAGTCCCTGCTCTTGGGGAGCTTACGCTATTAGCAGAATGTGTGGGGGGATGTAAACCTTGCCTTCAAGAAGCAACAAGTACAACCAATATGCTGTATTAGATTTTATGTGTTTTAGAATGTTAAAGTTGAAAAGAGAGATGAACTAGGAATGATTTAATGAAGAAGATGAGATTTAATCTAGAACTAAAGTAGTGACTAGATCTGGTAGGTAGAAACTGGGAGGAAAGTGATTCTAGCTTGACGCCTAAAAAGAAGAAAATTCTGAATTGTAGGGGAGAGAAAAGAGAGGGAGGGACAGATAACTGGACTGCTTTGTATCTTTAGTTCCTTGCACACACAAGTGCACAGTTTTGGTTGAATTTGAAACAAATGTTTAAATGAATGAAGCTATGACAAGAGTTCAGAGATGTAGCAAGGAGGAATTAGGTAGATCTAGTGTTATTTTAGTGGGACTGGGAGAAAGGAATAGATTTGATAGCTGTTGGTGAAAGAACCGGTAGGTTCTGTTAATATTCAGTGTTGGGAGTAGTGTGGTGGCCAAAGGAGAAAGGGAGGCTAGATTACCAAGTTTGAACTGAGTGGACCAGGTGTGTTATTGATTTACTTATTTCATCAAATCATGAGATTTAAAAAAAAAATTCCAAGATGCACCTTTGTTTTATGAACCAGTATGAAAGAAAAAAATATTGCCAATGTAACAAAGATCATCAACTATAAGATGTATTTATTTTCAGAGTTAAAATGTAAATGTATGATTTAGAAATGATGAAATAAAGTACTCCTTATGGTTGGTGGACCTTATAACGATTTCTTTCTGTTTATAAATAAACTTGCAGTCTTTGACATGCATTCAATCATTTAGCATTTATTTATTAACTGGGCAGTCTCCTAGGTCACAATGGTGAAATGGTGAGGAAATACAATTTCTACCCTCATAGAACATATTGTATAACTGGGGAGGCAGACATAAATCAAATGTTGAAAGAAATTTAAAGTTCCCAGTTATTTTAAGTGCTATGAGAAAGGACTTGATGTTATACAGAGGAAAAACTGTTTACAAGAGGGACAGCAGTGTGGATGGGGAGAGGTCAGAGGAGAAGATGATAATATCCTGGGCGAGATGGTGGTGAAGATCGAAGTGAGTGGATTTAGAGATATTTAGGAGGTGGAACGAGGTGATAGACTGGATGTGAGGAATGAGGGAGAGGAAGGTGGTGCCTAGCTTTTTGGCTTATGTAACTGGATGGATAGTGGTACACTTCATTGAGAGAACACTGTAAGAGACCAGGTTTGGGGGGACATGGTTTGTTTGTTAATATTTTTTTATGGTGGCATCAGTTTTCAAGGCTAATTTCTTATTTTTTTCTTTTATGTCATTGTTTGAATTAAGTATACTTGAATGGTGTACCTGAAACAAATTTTTTCAGTGTTTTTTATTTTTTCTTGAGTGAGCAGGGATAAAGTTCTAGATGAAAGTATTTGGAAATATGTTGGTATTTGTTCTGAATTTATATGTAACATATTCAACCATATATATGAATAGGTATATGATCTTTATTTTCACATGGGATTATGGGCAATAAACTGGGCATCTGGTTAAATTCTAACTTCATTCAGTTAGTGTATATGTAAATTTAAATGTGTATTAGGGAAGAAAGACATGCTCTTGATTTTTCCTTGAAATGTCTCCTTTGTGTAACTTTTTTTTTTTTTAGGAAAGTACAAATTTATTTATTTATTTATTTTTTAAAGATTTTATTTTATTTATTTGACAGAGAGAGAGAGCACGCACAAGTAGGCAGAACAGCAGGCAGAGGGAGAGGAAGAAGCAGGCTCTCTGCTGAGCAGGGAGCCCGATGCGGGGCTCGATCCCAGGACTCTGGGATCATGACCTGAGCCGAAGGCAGGCGCTT